GTTTGATGTCAGAACATCGGCGCTAATTAATATCTGGCTGAAGCAATTAAGATGCGGATTTTAGGGTGTCACGACGTTTTGCGTGGCATTCACATTTTCTCGCTTCTTTGCTTTGCACGACACAAACAGCTTCTGCAGAGGGAACGTCACACACAGCTTGTATTTAGGAGAATAGATGCCAATGGCCATGGCCGGATTCCACCCTGTGAGAAAATAACGTCCACAAATACCGTAGACCCCTCCGTCACGCTGTGCAGAGAGCGATTTGCCACATGGCTGTCGTTTGAGCCGTGGCTCTCAGAGTTGGCGAGGATGAATTAATTGTGAAAACAAATGAATCCATAATAAATTGGCAAGGGTCTGCTGCTGCACTGCATTACGTACTGATTCATTTTCTTAATTTTTAATTCGGGTTTTTTTTACAGGTGTGCTCGCTAACACCGCTTGCCCCGAAAAACTATTCGAGCTATAGGAGGGATCTTTGTCTTTTTATGCGGGTGATGGCTGGCTGTGTGGTGCCTTGTGTGAGGGCGTTCTGTGGACTTTAAAAGAAAAAACAAACAAAAATCCAGAACAATTTATTGTTTGTTAAGCATTTCCACCGTTCCATTTGCACTGGAGTGGGGAATTTCTGTAGCATAAAGGGATTTCCCATAGATCTAGCAGGGATGACTTTGAGCCATCCCTCCAGTGAATCCGCCTTTACCGTGATATAGACTCGCACAGGCGGCCCATTTTTTCTTATTTTTCGTTGCTGTTGTGAAATATTGCTGGCTCGGTCGTGCCGGGAAGCTCCATCTAATGTGTCCTGCTGTGCGGGTGTGGTTAATAATTTATTGCAAGCCTACAGACACGCACGTAGGGTCCTCAGCTCAACTTCTTGTGGCAATTTTGTCGCTTTTAACAGTGACACATCCATTTTTTTCGTATTATGTTGCACCGGTGCATCTACTTATATGGCAGACATGTGTTTTGTAGCTGCACATTTGTATGGAAAGTTAAGAACTGAATGTGTTGATACCGTCGTTTAATATTGATTCTGAAGCTGGCGATACGCGTAAGAGTCAATGTTTTTTTAGCGAGAGTCGTATTTGTCGTACGTCATGGGGTTCTCGTCACCACTGCGGCCATTGGAGGCCGCTGCATTCCCCACCGTGCAAAGCAAAAAAAAGAATCGAATCTTAAATTTTATCTGTGATCCAGAATCATAACAGCGAATCAAATTGCCAGGGCGGTTTATAGTTCCACCCTTGCAGAAGGATTCTTATGGCCCATATGCGTACATGTGTAAAAGCCTGTTCCATATTTAGTCTGTATGGTATATTTGTGTGCATGTGTGTATTGGGGATGTGATTCCGATTTAGGATCCATACGAAAAATCCAAAGAATCAGACCTAAATTTGGAATTTCGAACATTAAAAAATGTAGGTTCGTTTCAGGTTGATCATAAAAGTAACAGACGTGATGTCACCACTTCTGAGCTTTTCCCACCAAATGCGGTGTCACTATGATTAGCACGAGTACACAATAATCCGAATATCGTAAAAAGTTCCGAAATTGTCATAAAAAATCCAAAAATCTGATATCCGAATGTTTTAAAGTGTACCGAGCCCTGTCACGGGCACCTTGGCGACGTCCCTGCCACTGTGTGGCATGTCGCAGCTGTTGCCGATTTCGCGTGTGTGTGAGAGTCACCAAACCGATCAAAAGCAATGTGGGAAAATCACCTCGCTATTTTGGTGAATGGCAGCTGCTGCTGTTGTGTGTATGGGCCACCTATCCTGGTACAAGCAATGTGGTTTGACTAGCCTTGCGAATGTGTCACCTCTGCTTAGTAGCAAATGCTGACTTGCTGATATGTGTACGTGGAGTAATGTATTTGTGCCTCTTCAGTGCACTGTGCTACAATTGCAGAAAATAATATACAGCTCCTTGTCAATCCAGTGCTGGATGAAGGTCTCCCCACGCCGTGTCGGTCGCGGGGGTTGATTGACCATACTTCACCGCGCTGGTCGGTGCGGGTTGGGGAAGGCAGCTGGCACAGGACGACGGTGTTCAGATATCACTCTTCTCTGATGTGGGACGTGGCCAGGAATCGAACTGAGGCCGCCAGGTTCGCAGACCTCATCGCTACACATGCGTCCCGAAAACTAGGTCAATTCCTCTTTATGCCCACCATCATTGCCCTAATTGGTATCAGAATCTGTCCACGGTCTCCCCCAAGGTTTGGTCAGTCTATAATTAGTCCATCGTTCTTTGTGTCAACATGAACACTGGGAAGACAAAAGTGGTCCAGTGTGCTGCTGCTGCTGCTGCTGCCCACAACTCCATTTTGTGTGCCATGCTCGGCGAAATACATTTTCCCTAACAGCCCTGGCCACAACTGTCTCTTTGGCTAATTGGAGGATCTTTGTCTCTGTGAGTGGATGTGTGTGTGTGTTTTATATTGCATGTCAAAATGAACCTGTTCCCCAACACATATTGGGTGTTGCTTTTTTCTTTCTTAAAACAATATATATAACCTTTCATCAGTCCACTGCTGGACGAAGAGCATATCCTCAATCAAGATTGAGCATATCGTAAAGCAATGCTTCCATTATTTATGGATGTGTTTGTGCGCGAATGTGACCTACACTTTTCGGCCGTTAAAACACACAAGATGCTGCATAATGGGAACATCTCGCACCTTATGTGCACCACGTTTTGGGAACCTCCGTCCAATTTAAAGCGTTCGGCCATGCTTTTCACCTCATCGTGCCCTTTACCAGCTAAAAATGTTCAGTCACAGTGAAGCAACGTTTGATTTAAGTGTTAAAAACCACAGGGCTTAATATCGCACTACCGTACAGCATTCCCTCCTTATTCACGAACTTGCTAAACGTAATTTTGGATATCCGTGAATTGCATCTGGAACTCTGCACGGATGCGTCGGAGAGAGAGAAATAAAGTGATGAGGGAGAATGTGATGCTAGAAAGTGATGAGAGATAAAGTGATGAGAGATAAAGTGATGAGATGAAGTAATTGGAGAGAAAGTGATGAGATAAAGTAATTGGAGAGAAAGTGATGAGATAGAGTGATAGAGTGAGATTATTTCTCCAATCTTTAGATGCATCTGCAAATGTAGGCCAATATCATTATCCGTTAAATTTGCTATTCACGAGCATCTCTGGAACATATCTATCGCAAAAAATGAGGGAATACTGTATGTCCATTTGAAATGGTTAAATCTATCATGCATTGTGTCTTCAGTTGCTATTTCAGACCGGCGCCTTGACCTTTTGCATCTTTAGAATATCCATGGCTAATTTATTTTGTCAGTATCCAGTTGAGGGGAGAGCGTATTGTTTGGTTATTTATCTTGTTATTTGAAACAATTGATCACCTTCAAATTGTCATCATGCAATCAAATCCACGCAAGCACAACCAGCTCAGACGATACAAATAAAATGTCACTACTTTTATTAAATAATCTTCATTGTGGTGAGGACAGAGGGGGGTGCAAAGTTAAAAGCAGAGAGAAAGCCCTCAGGAAAATCACTCAATGTTTTTAAATTAATGGATTACGCCCATCGCTCGTTCCCGCCAAAAGTCTTGAGTTATACATTTCATCTTGGAAATATATATACGTGAACGGATTTTAACGTAAAAAATTAGCATGCAGTTATAAGGGACAACTTTACCTCAAGAAGTCTAAAGAAATGTGATTTTGTTAAATTTAAATCGTGTACATGAAGACAATCTTTATGCCGCCGTCTGAAACGCTCTTCCTTCCGAAATTTGGAAGCCATTGCAGCTATGCACTTTTAAATCTAAATAAAAAAACTAATTTTTTTGTAACTGTTTTTTTGTTTAGTTTGTTGTCCTGGCCCCACACCTCCGATGAGCACGGTTAGCTATGTACGGTGCGAAAGAAGTTCAACACACGTACAGCGTGGTGAAGAAAAAGGAGAGATTGATGATTCATAATTCACAAATGGTAGCCTTTAGGGAGGGGTGAGACGGAATTTTAAAAACCACAGGGCTGACATGGATGTGAGGGACGGACATGGCATCGGGATCCTTTCATCCAGCAGTGGATCGAATATGGTTGCAAATGATGATGGCGATGATATGACATTGCCGGGCGCATTTGGTGATCGTTGTTCATTTTATAAGTTGACCGGTTTGCACGCCCGTTCATTGTCTGTGTTGTGAGCGTGTTAACGAGCGTGTGCACGTGCGTGTGCACGTGCGTGTGCACGTGCGTGTGCACGTGCGTGTGCACGTGCGTGTGCACGTGCGTGTGCACGTGCGTGTGCACGTGCGTGTGCACGTGCGTGTGCGCGCTCCGTCTGTGTCCATGCACCTGTGCATCTGAATCTGTGTGTCCCTCGCCTCCAGAGATAACCTTCAAGCACTCTGTGTGAACCCACATCGTGTAAACACGTGGCTCACCACTGCCAACAAAATCTCTTCTGTTCTAGTTCGCATCATGGATTATGTGCACCACTGTGCATCACATTGCATTGCATTTACAAGCATGATTCCATTTGCACAAGCCTACGCGTTAATTGCCCTGTAAAGACGCCGCATGTTTTCCGTGCACTATGACGATCGCTCATTCAGCTGGTGAGTTCCACTCATGGGACCTTTGGGGAACACCCACCCACGTCTGCTTGCATCATCCCGTTAACGTATTGTGCATCTCTGAATCTTATCATTGTGGAGCAGTCCTATCAAGTGTTATTTCGGACCAGTGATACATTCTGCTGTTCGGTGCATCCGATCCAACATATGGGGCCTACACTGTTATTCATGATGCCCATTGTCCCAGTGGAGTTTTTTTTTTTTTAACAAACAAGCCAGCTGCCATTCTATCTTTCAGAGGTGTGCGCGGCCACAATGCCACTGCCAAAAAACCGAACGTTCCCTGCATTGCAATTGACTCTATAGCACGTTCACCTGTTTTCCTCTGTGTATGTGTGTGTGTGTTTTTTCCCCCCACCTCTACTTTCAAAAGGCGTATGGCATGTCGGCGCTGCCCGTGAACCTCATTAAAGGGAAGAAAAATGCAGGGTACGAGCTCCTGCAAAACGCCGACGTCATCGATGAGGTGGAGCAGCAAATTGAAAGCATCCGAGCTAAGGTTGGTACACGTTTGGTGCATTTGGTTGTCCTGACAGCTTTGATCGCTGTGGAGCCAATAGGCAGTGACATTGTTCATTGGTTCTGACTGTTAACCAAGTTGTGTATCCAATATTTTTTGAATAGTTTTTTTCACACGTGGATTTGTTCCAGGTTTCCATTTCCAATGGAGACGCAGTGGTAGTGGCTCATTTGGTAGGAGAATTGAAACTGTGTGGCTGATTCAAGTCATCAGCCCCTGAAATCTGCCACCAACTTTGACGAATTAAATACGTAGGTCAAAGTGTCTCCCTGATCAAACAGCAAACAAGCGTTGGGTCGTGATCATCCTTATCAGTGGCCCTGAGCCAGTTTTTGGAATTTCCATTAAAATTCTTGTTTCTACAAAGGGTAATATTCAACAACTGCCATCTCCTGGCTACCTTATAAGCCCCATGCCTGGCAGTGTCCTGAGACAGCACAGCTGATATCCTGGGTTCAAGCCCTTGAGTCACATAAGTGAGGCAACGAATACTGCTGCTGCTTCTGGCTTGGGAGCAGCCAGTTTTATTGTCAGTTCCACCTTTCGATGATTGGCTGTGAATGAACGAATTAAAAACAATTTAAATTGGCGCATGCTTGCAGTCAGCTCTGGAAGTTACGAACGTAAGGGAGTGAGTGGAAATTGACCTGCCACTTATTGATCGATAGATAGATTTAGGAAAAAATATTTTATTTTTTGTTAAGGAGGAAAAGTGGCGGTAGCTTGGGGTATGAAATGTACTGCATCACGCTCCTGAGACGGCACCCAATATCTCACTTCCGCGAAACAGTTTTCTTTCTTGCCATGACCCGGTTAAGAAAAAAATGTCATCACTTTAAATGGCGAATGAAATAAAACTCACAACTATCAAATTGGTGTTTTATCAGTCACATCAGTCATACTAAGCTTTTTTGAGAGTATCAAAGATGGACATTGCTCAATGGAAATTGCTAGCTAGTTCCCAAATTCCCCGAACCCCTGAATTGCACCCATGTGTTAATGCCTGTGGCAGGTCAAAGCTTTATTCCAGCAGGTTAATCTTTTGAGTGAATTATTTTGTTTCTTTCCACCCCTGTGTGCACTGTGTTTTATGATTATTAGCACACGCGTTACAACATTTCAGCTGCACACAATTCATCATAAAACAGATAGCCTTTGCCACGTGGAAGTTCAGTTGCCAGTATCAAATGTGGCTTATGCTACCACTGACCAATAAACGTTATTTTTCATACCCTGATATCACTGGCCAAAACACAAGTGTGTCAATAGTGATAGTAAATAACAGCCTATGTGCTTGTTTTCCTGCCCCGGAGAGGAAAATAATGTCTTCATGTTTTGGCTGAATGGCCTTGTTATGGAAGCTTTGGTCCAGAGTGAGAGTCTTGAATATGCACAGAAATATGGCTCGGATTTTACGAATACTGGTCACGTGTGTGAGGTTGGCTGCGAGGAACGATGATGGTGGTGGGTGGTTAAGTGTGACAAATTGATGTGGCGATGCTACCAGCCTCTCTGAATCATGCCAAGTCTTGAGAGTGTCTGGCCATACGTGTGGGGAGCCAGGAGTGAATTGTTTAGCGCAATGCGCCGCGATTTTGCTTCTCTGGGTTCGATTTCAGTTTGTTCACAGGGGTTTTTTTTTACATTTAGAAACGTGCGTTTAGAGTCTTTGGCTGCCGCTTTAAATTTCCACGTGACAAGCCACTTCGTTGAGCTATCATTTGTGGCCAGGTCGCTCCGGAAAAAGAGCTATATATGCTAAGTGGGCCTTAGCTAGAAAAATAAAAAATAGTTTGTATTTATTAATGCCTATCTGCGAAACTACCATTGCATGGTAGTATCACGTAATACTACCATTGTCGGGTAATATTACATTGCCAGCTTCCGTGATCTACGTGGCTGTCAACCACGTCAAGGGTGAGGCTTCTGGAAGTGGCCTCATGGGGAACCTGTGTATCGTGTCGAATGTTTTCCCTCAAATATAGTAGGCATCTACTCACTGCGGATCTCCTTGAAATGGCAAGGTCATCATTGTTTTGGCCAGAGGTCAAATGTTATTCTCACTAACGTGACCTCTGAGACTTGAAATGCGGGTGTTTGGTCTGCGCGCTTATCTGATGAGTATTTATTTATTTTGTGCTTGTGCACCGCTGCCGGCGCAGTCCCAAAATTCGTAATTTTGTCTCGCTAGTATATCTGGCAAAACTTTATTTTGGCTTATAGGTCAGGTTTTTTTTTTCCCCACCAAAGCTATTGTCATGAACACAATTAAAATGTGCATTTCCAGAACATGTTCTGTAATTGAGTGTAGTGTTAATGGCTTCTTGACTTGTTTTCCAGCAAACGAAGACGTGTTTTTTTCCGAGGCTGCTAATCCAGCCAGTGCGTGTATAGTAAGGCCACATGGCAGGCTGCGGTTTTTGTCCGATTGTTTCGACGCAAGTGTGTGTGTGTGTGCTGGCCTGGCACAGGCAGCATGGTAACATCACCGTCACTTCATGGCGAATGGCGGGTATTGGTTTTGGTGTCCTGAAAGTCAGTGTAAACATGTTTCTGCTTTATCATGTAAATGAAAAGTATACAGGGAACTCATTAAATAAACTACAGCTAAACATTTTTTTTTTCCAAGTAAGGTTTACTGAACTACATAGCAATTTTTTAAGAAGTGACCTGGCTGCAAATGATAGTTCAATGAAGTGGCTTATCATGTGAAAATGTATAGCAGTCAAATACTTTAAATGCATGTTGATTCCAAACGTAGGAGGGGAAAACTGGAGGATCCGGGGAAAAATCTGCGCGATCCCGGTGAGAAAATGCAAACTCCAGTTGTGCAGGCGTCAGGGTCGGGATAGAACCCACGGCCTCCAGACAAGGTAGTGAACATCTCGCCACCGGCGCCACCCCTCATTGCTGCTTGAAGCTGTGCACTTCATGTTGGCCGTTTACCTTACATTTTTCAGTAAACCGCCGACTGCAAACGGTAGGTAAAATCCGCCGTATTTGTCACGTGATTCTGCGTGGCAGTTTATCACGGTGATATCGACCAGTTCTCCACCGGGACCCCTAAACCTGCGAGGACAAATTCAAAGTCAGGAGGTCATCAAAAGCAAACGACGTTTACGCCCACCACACGTCGCCTTCTCCTCGGTCCGCCCGCCAGAGGCCTGCAGCTTTTGAACAGTTTGATGCCCAAAGTCCATGGTCTGCTGGCACAACGGGCTTCTGTGAACTGGCACTTGTTTAGCCGTGAGTGCCTGTTAATGTTGGCCGTAGCCTCCTCTTCTGAAAACGTCTTTTGCTCGTTTACAAATGAGGATATTCCATTATACGTTTGCAATATATTCATGCAATCGGTTTCTCACGAAGGCTGTAGCTGAAATTAAACCAGTTTCCTCTGAACACCAACTCGAGACTGTGCAGCGCGTAACTCTCCATGACACCCATACATACATGACCAAAAGCGTTTTAATTCTGAGCACAGGCAATGCAGAAGAATAATGATGTTGCAGAAAAACATTTTCATTTCTTATTGAGAACATTATTGAGTGTGACGGGGTTCCGGCACTGTTAGCTTCCAATTTGTTGCACGTTATGTTCCACGTCAACTCGCGCTTGTTAACATTTAAATATTAATTGTACATCAGGAATGCGTTTGATTAATGGGCTCCATAATAGCGTTGCCCTTTTCAGTTTGCACTGGTAGTTAGCGCAATGCGTGTAGCCGGTGGCTTAACTTCTTTGCGATTTCTTCAATTCGCAATGCAAACATTTGCCCAAGCGTTTTGAGTGCTAATTTAACACAGTTCAGTTCAGTTTCAGTTTATTTATTTTGGCATAGCCCTGTGAGCCATTCGGCTCTTGAATCGGGTGCAACCATAACAAACAAAAAAAAACAAAAACACGAACAAGAAAACATTTTAAAGTGACTATGTGACTGTGCAAACAGAAAATCTATGAAAAAAACCGGCAAAATATTCCTGAAAAAAGCACCGTACACCATCGATCTGGGTTGTGAAGCCGGGCGAGGCCTGCTTGGTGTACGGATGGAGTGGCGCTGCTCTGGTTACGTTGGCGGCTGCGTGGGCTGTGAGGTGTGAGGTGACGGCAAGCGTGGCTTTCGTGAGCAATGTCATTAATGAAAAAAGTAATTTGGGGTAGCCCGCGTGAATGTACAAATGTGTCATTAATCCACCAACACCCGACACGGCCAATCAGCAAGGTTTGTCACGAAAACAAAACGTGCCAATTAGTTACTAGTTGAGCGCCAACAGTGAAAGGACATGCCACCACTGCTATGTTGCACCAGGCAGGGTGGTGCTAGACTTACAGTTGGCATGTTGGCATGTTTTTGGGTTCAAAATCCATCTTTCCTCCTGGATTAAATGAAACGAGTACTGCCTTGTAAGGTTAACATCGGTTATCCCGCGAAAAGACTTGTTCCTGCCGCAGACGGTGGCCGTCCGATTGGGAGCATGCTAGTTTATTGGGTCTGTTCCCTCGTTTGGCCGCCATTCCATCACTGCTCTTGTCTGTCGACCATTATCTCTCTTGTTGTCCTGACAAAATGTATTTAATTCTCTTGAAAGCGAAATGTTTTCTCAAATTTACTGTTTTCTCCGATTCATCTGTTCCTCCTAGTCTCTTTAAGTCTGATTCCCAGCAAGCGTCGCTTTACGCATCCATGCATTTACTCTGCAACTTTTGTTCCGTGTTCTTGGCGAGTCCGTGTTTCTGAGGTGGTGTTCTGTCATTGAAAACTTCCATCTCCAGTCGCGTTCTTTTGTCTGCTTTTCGTAAAAAAAAATTACTTTCCAAAAGCACTTCATCATGCTCTCACTCTCTTCTTCATTCAAACCTTTGCATTCCAGTCTGCCTTTCGTAATTACCCGAGATATGGGTACTGTGTTGTGTTTCCATGGTGTGTCCTCTAACAATTATTTCCTCGTCTTTAGCCCCACTTTGCATCCTTTTTGGTAAAT